ACTCTCCAGATGTTTGGTTTGTAGACGCGCACTGAAAGCAAAAGCACGCACACACAGAGACGCACGCACACATGCAGGCACACAGCACAGACACGCCCATCTCATTACAGAGATACTCACTACTCACATGATACCAACACGAATACTTGTGTACGCAAGTGCCACGGCCCGGCGACCCTCGCCACGGCCAGGCAGTTTCAGATGTCAGATTGTCCTGCGTGATGCTCTATTGATGAAGTGGTGTTTTCGCCTGTGCAGGTTGCGAGAACTCATATCGCGAGCGGCTGGGCTCACAGCACAGGCACCGTCAATGTTCACCCGGCAATGCTGGTTTGGTGGTGTATTGTATGTGTGTGCGGGGCTGTCGCACGTGAGTTTCTGCGATGGTGGTAAGTTGACTTCGCATGGTAAGACATGTCATGAGAAGATTGCGCCTGGGTGCAGTCTAAAATCCCAGGCCGAGCCGAGCAATGGACTCGCTGACCGAGGCTCCCACAGAAATCAATTGAAGAGCAGCGGCCCTTGCATCAGCAACTGGGTCCACTCCACTCCATTCCATCCATCCCCCTTTTCTTCTCCACCTCCTCCCACCTCCTCCACCTTCTGTCCTTCACCCTCTCTCCCTCATCATCCCTTTACTCTTTCAATGACGGGGACGCCGACGACCACGCAGCCGACGACGACGGCGACAACGACGACGTTGACAGCGACGCCCACGGGCAGCGAGGACGGGGGCCACCCTGCTGCACACCGCGACGGACGGGGACGTGGTCCGGTGCCTGCTGGAGCTGAACCTCGACCCGAACGCGCGCAGCCCGCTGGGGTGCGCCCAGGACGGCGACGGCGACGACCTGGGCTTTGGGCTGATTGGCTCCGGTTGATCCCCGCGTTTTTCTGCCTAGTTCGGCCTCACGGGATCCTTTCCTGGTCCCAGGGCCAGCGAAGGTCGATCCAGGACGAGGCTTGCGCCCTAGGCAGGGGCCGAGACCTCTGTGGCCCACTGGGTGCCCTAAGATGCAGCAGTTCGTCTCCCACCGGAGGGGTCGGCGGCTGCGGCCGCATGCCCGAGGCTCGAGGGGGTGCTCGAGGATGCGCCTATCCGCCAGTAGGCCCCTCCCCCTTACGCTACGAATCCCCAGGCGAGCTTCCTAGATGGAGAACGAGGAGGAAGAGAGGAGGATGAAGAGGAGGAGAGGGAGGAGGATGAGGAGGAGGAGGAGGAGGAGGAGGAGGAGGAGGAGGGAGGAGGAGGAGGAGGAGGAGGAGGAGAAGGAGGAGGAGGAGGAGGAGGAGGAGGAGGACGTCGACCAGCATAAATTGCATACAATGGGGGCGTTCGTTAAGGAATGCGGCCATGAGGCTTCAGGCCATAGGCCGTTGATGGTTCCTCACCTGATGAGGGCGGCGGTGATTCATGGCCAAGCCTTAGTTGGGTGCTCCCTCGGCTTCCAGACCTTGGATTCCTTACCCAATGTTTCATTATACAAGGCCCTCCCCGTGTTTATCACGGCCTGCTATCTGGGGCCAGAAGTTCTGCCACGCTCGCAGGACACGGTTCTCTTCATAGTATCAGTGGCATGCCCACACACCGTGCAGGTAGCAGCGCGAGTAGTAGCACGTGGGTTGAAGCCACCGTGGCATGGCATAGCACATTCGTTTGACGATTCTTTTTCCAACCATTAAACGCTGAGGCTGCACACCAGTGCGACCCAGAGAAGGAGAGCAGGGCAAGCAGGCATCCGAGATGCCAACGAAGCAACCAGGCGAACGGATGCGCTTGGGAACACGCTCGCTCGCCTGGCCGTCGCGTGCAGACGGCTGCGCTTTACCTGGCGGACCGGTTGCGCTTCAGACCCCCACACCGCCCAAGTCGATCCCAAGTCGGTCCCAATTCGATCGGACCCCAGGAGCAGCAGATACCAGATGAGTACTCAAATTCCGTCCCCCCCCCTCTGGCCGAATTCGGTAACATGGGCCTTCTTGGGGCACTCCAAGAAGCGTCGAATAGCCTCTTCGTGCCATATTAGAGCCGCCTCGGTCTTCTCTTCGCCGTCGCTTTGGAGCCTTATGGGATCCTGGAGGGTTCTCTGAAGGCCCTCTTGGAGGTACTTTTGGACCCATCTAGATGCTTCTGAGGCCCATGAAGCATTTGAAAAGCAGCAAAACTGGGGGCCGTACTTGGGAAATCTGGGACTGCTGCCTCGGAGCCGCGCTAGGGTCATCTTAGAGCCCGCTGCGGCCGCGCCGGAGGCGGTGCTGGGGGCAAGCTTTGACCCTACTGGGCCAACTTAGGGGCCAGCTCTGACCCCTACCCGCAGGAGCGCGCAAGCACAACGTGTCGCTGCGCACGGTCTCGGCTGGGGAGCTGCCTATCTCCAGGGTGGCCGCGGCGAGGCCTCGAAATTGGGCGCGCTTCGTGGTACGCGCGGCGCGAAGCGAGAAGTTTGGCGACTCAGGGCACACCCCTCCTTGAAGGGGAGGAGGGGCCATTTAGAAGAGCTGGCTCTACGTAGCCGTTTTGGCTCAAGGTCATGCTGAGGGCCGCTTCCTCCTCGTCCTCCTCCTCTGCCTCCCTAGCTTGCGCCCTCCCGGGCCGGCTCCTGGCGGAAATGAGCGCCGCCTCCCGCGCGGGGGAGGTCACCGTGAGCATCTCCGTCGACGAGCTGCGCTCGCTGCTGCGCGCGGACACCGGGGAGGTCGTCCGGGCCGAGCTGCGCGCAGTCGGGGCGCTCCGCTGGGAGGCCTCCCAGAGCCAGGCGACTACGCCGCGCTCTGACGCCTGGGAGCGGCCCTGCGACCCCGGGGCGCCAGGCGCGAGCGGCCCCGCCGCGAGCGCCCCGCTGCGGCAGCGCCCCGTCACCGCCTTGTGGCCGGGCGCGCAGGCCCGCGAGTCACCACCCGCCAATCCACCCCAACCCAACCCGGAGGCCTCAATCTACCCTCCATTTCCAGGGGGGGGGGGGGGTCGGGGAGCATCGAGAAAACACCTGTGGAACCCGTCCCCCCCCCCCCCCCCAAACCCACCATTCGGGTCCTCCAGTTGGGTTGGGGTGGTCTGGTAGGTAGTCAGCGAGGCAGCGAAAGAGAGGAGGCCGGCAAGGCTGCGGAGGTCATCGGCGTCACCCGAACGTAGTATTGCTGCCAGGTTTGCGTCGCCCCCAAGGGCGGGCGGCGCGCGCGCTCTCCGAAGCCCTGCCTGTTCTGATGGCTCGGTGGCGGGCGCTCTCTGGCAATACCGCTTGGGTAGCTATCTTCTGCAAGACCGTTGTGCACGAGACGATCTGGTCGGGCCGCGCCCTCCAAGGAAGGCGCACGGTATACCAGTATGTCCTCCTGCATCCCAAGGCACCCTCGAGGAAGGAGGAGGAGGAGGAGGAGGAGGAGGAGAACGAGGACGAGGAGGAGGAGGAGGCGGAGAACGAGGAGGAGGAGGAGAACGAGGAGGAGGAGGAGGAGGAGGAGGAGGAGGAGGAGGAGGAGGAGGAATAGCGGAGAAGGGGGGTAGGGCGACGAGGCCTATCCAGCTCCAGTACTCCCGGCCCGGCCCATCCTGGGGGCCTGCAGAGAGAACGAAGAGTGTGTCTTTGCTGCGTCCCCAGGTCGGGCAGGGACACCGACGGGCTCCTCGGGGAGGGCAGGGAGGCCTCCCTCGTGGAGGCCCGCGGCAAGCTGTGCCCGCGGGCGGGCGGCGACGTGCTCACGGGGCTCCTGCGGCTGGCGGACTGGCTCTGGGGCATAGAGGAGCCGCAGCGCACTGGCGTCTGGGCAGACCTCGCTCGAAGAAGAAGAAGAAACATAATAATAATAATAAGAAGAATAATAAGAAGAAGAAGCGTGGCATAAGCAGAAAGCTTCGACGCTCCGCGGTGATTTCGGGTGGGGCAGGAGACGCCGCCAGATCCAGGGAATCCGCCCTCTTCAACAGTTGACGTTCATGTTGTTTTCTGTTGCCCGAGGAGCCGCAGCGGACTGGCGTCCTGGCAAACTTCGTCGCCAGCAGCGCGTTCCAGGCCTTTTTTGTCTCCGTCATTGTAGCCAACGCAGGCTTCATGGCCTACGCCGTCAACGTGGACATGCAAAACCTCCGCAACACCGAGGCTGAGAGCCCCAAGTGGCTGTCAATTGTCGATGTGAGTTTCTTGTGCTTGTACTGCGCGGAGCTCTTGTGTAAGCTTGCTCTTCACCGCTTGTTCTACTTCTGGGGCGAGGACATGGCCTGGAATTGGCTGGATTTCGTCCTGATCCTGCAGGGCCTCGTGGACATGCTCTGCGGGGCAGGTGGCGGCAGAGGGAACACCTGGATGCGCACGTTTCGCCTACTCAGAGTGGTCAAGGTGTTGCGCATTCTGCGGGTCTTCAAGTTCTTCACCCAGCTCTACGCTATTGTTAGTGCGATCGTGCGGTCTATGATGCACCTCTTCTGGAGCGTCTTGATGTTCGTTATCGTGCTGTTCATGTTCTCGCTCTTCATTATGGCGAACGCTTCGAACTACCTGCAGGATCTCGACAGCCTCGACAGCAAAGAAGCGGCAGCTATCATAATGTATTTTGGATCGTTCCCGATAGCCATGAGGACGCTATTATTGACTGTTTCTGGCGCCTCTGATTGGGAGACCTTCTATTTCGCTTTGGAGCCCATCAGCGTTGCCCAGATTGTGTACGTGCTGTTTATAGGATTTACGCAGATAGCGGTGCTCAATATCGTTACAGGTATCTTCATGCTCAACATATCCTACGCGCTCAATTTCTCCCGGCCAGAGTATCACCAGCTGGCCGAGGGACACTATGCCGAAGAGCGGGGCGCTTGTGGGACGGACCATGAAACTGCGCAGTTTTGCCGGGAGCACGGAGATTATGGACCTTCACGACACAGTTTGAAATACAAGGAGATTTCAGGAGCAGATGGTGCGAGATATCCACGGCGCAGTCTCCAAGTGCAGAGCCTTGGATTGCAGTTCGAGATCTCGGACCCTTTCTGCCGGGAGCTCGGGTATGATGGAGATTCACAACACAGTGTGGCAACAGATAGCGCGAGAGATCCACAGCGCAGTCTCCAAGTGCAGAGCCTTGGATTTCCGTTCGATGTTTCAGACACTTCGCGCAGTGCGACGTCCCCAAGAAGCTGGTTGGCGTTGGGGTGAGCGGTGAAAGCGGTTGCCGGGTCGTAATCTTGACTAGAGGGCAAGCGTGGATTGAGACTGCAGCGGGCAATCATAAAAAAAAACAGAGCCTAAGTTGGAGTAGCGGGGGTAGCACAGATGGGGGGCCAGAGTATGTAGAATAGTAGTTTCCCGCCCGACACGCTGGGGTTATTAGATTTCAAGAACAGGCCCCCCAGCCAATCCCACCCTGCATACCGCGGCCGCCAGACCCCAAGTTGTCCCGATGATCCCCGAAATCCCAGGTGTCCCGCCTCGCGCCCTGCCAACCCCACCATACATACCGCGGCCGCCAGACCCCAATGTCCCGTTGATCACCTAGAGTCCCGGGTGTTCCGCCTTGCGACCGGCCAACCCCGCTTTGCATATCGCAGCCGCCAGACCCCAAGTTGCCCCGATGATCCCCGAGAGTCCGGGGTGTCCCGCCTGGCGCCCTCGACGAACACGACAGAACACAACATGACAGAACAGAACATGACAGAACGGAACAGAGCATGACAGAACATGACAGACCATAACATACATACGTTTACGGTTGATGTGTGTGTGGGCTAAGGGGGGCGAGCGCTTGTTGGCCGTATTCGACCGCACGGCAGCTGTTCTGGCTTCGAGTGGGCCCTCGAGGAGGGCATGCTTCCTGGGGGCTCGCGTGCTCACGCCCCCACCGCACTGCAGGCCCAGCGGCCTCGGATCTGCGGCTGGTGCGATGGGCGGCTCGCCGCCGGGGAGAGCCTCGCCTTGGCGGAGGCAGGATGGCTGCTGGAGGTGTGCGAGCTCTGCTATTTGCTCGCGCACGCGAGGCAGGCGGCGCGCGAGGCGCGACTGGCGCAGCGCGAGCGGGCGCTGCTGCTGGAGCAAGCTCGCCACCGCGGAGCCCAGCTCGTGGCGCTCGCGACGCTCGAGCCCGATGCCTCCCAAGACCAAGGGCAAGGCTAAGGCCAAGGGCAAGGCCAAAGCCAAGGCAGCCCCTGGGCCGTCGTGGCCGCGGAGGAGGCGCCCCAGGCGCTCACCGACGTGTGCGGGGAGGCGCTGGGCCTGGGGCTGCTGGTGGAGGGGCGCTCCAGCGCCAGGCGGGCTTGACGCCCTTGGCGGAGCCGCAGGCCCCCCGCATGCTGGCGCGGCAGGTGCCCCCGTGGTGCCAGTGCTCGGCGCCCTCCCTGGGCTCCCTGGCGGCTTCGGCGGCGTCGGAGGCGGCGCGCCACCCGCTCTGCCTGGCGGCGCTGGGGCGGTGGCCGTTGGCGGCGACGGGGTCGGGGCCGCGCTGGTGGGCGCGCTCGCCGCGCCCGGCGGCGGTGCTGCTGGTGGCGGGGGGGGCCCGCCTGCTGCCGGGGCGCTCGGGGCCGGCGCGCCCCTCGGAGTGGTTGGAGGCGCCGCCATCCCAGCTGCTGGAGTGCAGCTGGACTCCCTGGCAGACGGCGCCTGGACGCAAGCCTCAGGGCTGGTGGGTGCTGGCTGGGCCCAGGGGATGAACGTGGAGCTGCCGACGCACGACGCCATGGGCGCCATCAGCGGCACAGCCCTGTTCGAGGTGGACGAGATCGGTACGCCTGGGGTTGAGGGCCAGTACGTGAGCGCCCAGTTCAGGGGAGCGTCGCTGCCAGCCGAGGCGTTGCGCCTCGGCGGTGCCTTCCCGACTCGTGGAACTGGCCTTGCTGGCTTGCTGCACCTCTGCGCGCAGGGCCCCGCGCGCTGCGGCATGATCAGGGTCGAGGCCGCGCAGGCTGGGCGCGCCGTCCTGCGCGTCGAGTGGCTGCGGCTTCGGACTGCGCGGGGCCGGTGGAGCCTCGGGTGCGTCTGAGCGCCTCCGGAGGGCGCGGCGGCGGCGGAGCTCGACAGGCCCTAGGGCTCATCCCTGGGGGTGCCGCGCCTGATCGCTTGGCGGCCGCGGCTGCTCAAGCCCTCGCAGGAGGTGGGGCTGGCGCCGGCGGCGTCGGCGGTCGGGGCAGACGGCGGCGGCGCAGCGACTCGGGTAGCCGCAGCGACGGCGACGGCGAGCCGCGTTTTCGCGACGCCCCCTCCCGCGGCGGCAGCGTGAGGCTGCTGGCGGAGAGGCAGCCCGGCGCCCTCTACGACGAGGCGATGCAGAGAGCATCGCTCGCGTGATGGGCCTGCGGGGGGGGCGGACGGTACCGAGACGCGTCCAAAGGTGGTCGGCTACTTGCAGGCGATCGTATTCGGCCACCGCCCCGTCTCGCAGCTACGGGTCAACACGGTGCGCGAGCTGCAGACGCTGGCGACGGCGCTGGACTTGCCGGAGGGCGGATCGCTGCCGCAGGTGCGCGACGTCCTGATGCAGAGGTTCAAAGCGCTCGAGCTCTCACTGTCGGATTCGAGTTGGCAGGTGGCCTGCGAGCTGGAGATAGCGCCCGACGCCAGGCCGCCCCTCGCCTCGATGGACGAGCAGGACCTGGCGCGCCGCTCGGCGGTGCTGCGGAGGCGGCTGCAGGGCGCCAAGAGCCGCGGGGCCTTCGGGAACATGGGCCGCGGGGGCGCGAGGGCATGACCCGCGGAGAGGGCGGGGGAGGGCTCGCGAACGCGCTCGCCCTCCCCGCGCGCCCCGCAGGGCGCGCGGCAGCCTGCCCCTGGCCGGGGGGGGGGGCACGCAGCCGCGGCTGGGGCCGCTTCTTCCCTTTGCGCGCGGCCAGCCCTGCTCGCGCACCGAGCGCCCCCATGGCGGCAGCCGAAGCCGAGGGCCCGCCCGCCGCAGAGCCCTCCGGCAGTCCCGCCTGCGCCCTTCCGCCGAGCGGGCCGCGGACGCCCCGCGGCAACTGCCTTCGCCCGAGGCGGGCGGCGCTGGCGAGCAGCCCCGAGCGGCGAGAGTTCAGGCAGGAGCAGCCCGCGACGGCGGTGGCACGGCCTCAGGGGGCCGCGCGCGGTCGCGGTCGCCGCCGCGGGGGCAGGGGGCGCAACGCGGGCAGGGCCATCGGTTCACGCCCGCGCCCCCCTGGCGGAGGCAGTTCTGCCGAGACTGGGGCTGCGAGGTGGGGCCGATCATCGGTGGTGCCCATGCTCATGATGCGCGCTCGGGTGCGGCCAGTTCTCTGCGGGTCGCCTCTTCGCGCAGACCGCCCTGGGCTTCCCCGTCGCGATCCCCGCTGCCTCGCCGCGCCCCCCCTCGCCTGCCGCGCGCGCCCGCCGCTGCTGACTATGGCGCCGCTATTACTGGGGACCCATTGGCCGACCGGCGTGATCTAGCAGGGGCTACCAGAGATCGAGAGCCCTATGGTGCTGGCCCGTTGCTTCTCAATATGTCCAGGAGCTTCCCTGGTTCGCGTGGTCGCTATGTCCGCGACCCCCTGGATCTACAGTTGCGCGAGCACATGGCCACCAAAGGGGGTCGGCTGCAACGTGTCTCGCTGCCGTTACCGCACCTACCCTTGTCAAATCCGATGTCGCGGATTACAGCGAGGACCTCATCGACGAGAACTGGGAGGCGCTCCACTGTAGGCTGGTCGCGACGATGCTGGCTCTTAGCTGGGAGGCGGGCTTTCGCTTGCTCAGGTTCGCTCGACGCTACCGCGGGCGTGCTAATGCAGCCCAGCAGGCCGCTTTGATCGGCCTGGCGCGGCGGCTCTTCCTGGCCACGCGCATCGAGACCAGCCTGCCTAGGGGCCTGATTTGGGAGAGCCGACTCGAGGATCGCAGCACAGGCTACGGTGGCTCCGAGACCACGTCACCTCACAAACTCACCCTGGAACATGCGCGGGACGGCCTGCCGCCACGCGACGCCGCCTTCAGTGTTCCGAAGGCCCACTACGCCCCCATCAAGTGCAGGAACGAGGAGCTGCAGCCCTTCCTCAGGCTGGTCATTAACTTGATCCCCTCGAACGCGTGTCAGCAGTGCATTGCGGGAGGCATGCCCGTGATGCCGACGATGAGTTAGCTGAACGGGCCGGTGCTTGCCGAGTCGGAGGACCTGTTGTGGGGCGGCGCTGACGGAAAGGCCTTCTTCGACTTCAGGGCGCCGCCGCCGCGGTGGCCGCGCGTGGTGATCGGCCCCCCCGTGCCGTCCAGGCTGTTGGGCCTCGAAGGCTACGGCGCGTCCTACATCTGCTTGCGCGTGATCGACATGGCGTGGATTGGCGCGGCGGGAGCGACTGCCCATCCTCACCGCAACACGCTTTGATGCAGTGGCAGCGCGCCTCGCGGCCTCAGTCCAAGCTGCGGGGTCACGCGCCGGCGGGGGTTGTCGGTGGGTGTGGAGAAGCCTCGCCCCCCGGCACGCACGGTCTACATTGTCAACCTGGAGATCGCTGTGATCGTCGACAAGCCAGAGGCGGAGAGGCTGCGCGGGACGGTGTCTGCCCTGCTGACTAACGCCAGGGCCTACTACGAGGCGACAGGCTCGCTTGCGTCGCCTGGCAAGGACCTCCACCGCGTGGTGCGCGCGACCAGCCTGCCTGAGCTGGCCGGCGGGGTCGAGGGCGCGCGCCGCCCCCCCCTCGGGCTACGCTTCTGAGATGGCCACTCTTGCATCCTGCGTCTTGGGGAAGAAGCGTGCCAGCACGCGGCTGATGCGTATCCTGCCTGGTCGATGGGTGCGCGCTCATTGCTTCCGCCGCCCGCCGGCCGCCAACTTCGCCCACGCTTGGCGGTGGCTTGGCGAGACGTGCAGGGGGGCCCGCCTCAGCGTCAACGTCATCGAGGGCCTGTTGATGTTCCTGGCGTTTTCTGCCCTGTGCGTGGCCACAGCCGGCCCTGGCGGTAGAGACGTGCGGCTCAAGGTCGACCACCTGGTGACGGCGTCTGATGCGTCGGAGGCGGCGGGCGCGGCGGTCTACAGCACGGCCCTCTTGGGCCGCGGCCGCGCGCTTGCCGCCCGGCGCTGGCGGCCTGCCAGCGCCGTCTGCGAGGAGGAGACGGCGCTGATCACCCTCTTCGACTGGATCGTGGGCGGACGCAGGGCATTTGAGATCATCGGTCTGGTGCCCGCGGTCCACCCGTCGTTCGAGGTTGACCCCCAGGCCGTGCGGGTGGCGCGCCGCGGCTTCCTTGGGACCCAGCACATTGGCGATGCGACGGAGGCCCACCCTGTCACCCTGGCGGGCCTCTTGCG